TATGGCCTTTCATCTCCTAAGAAATCATTCACTGCAGCTAAGTGTGTCCTGGGAAAATATATTTTAAAAGAATGAAGTAACTTTATTTTGAGCCAAAGATTGAGTGGTTAGTCACATTTTTACAAGGTGTAACTGATGTAATTGTTTGCATGTACCATAAACTTGCTTCTAAACTTCTAAACTTCTAAACTAAAATAGAAGTTGCTTCTTCTATTTTAAATATCATCAGCTTCTTCCCAGAAAACCTGTCCCCCAAAAGTAATGTGATCATTTGATTCTATTATCCCTGCTATCAAATTGTGTAAAGAATCAAGGGTCTTAATTTTAATCAGTATTTATGAAAACCTTGAACGTCAGTGACATTGGTTATTTTTTTAAAGCTCTTCTGATTTGCTTTTGTCTCAAAAGGAGAAAAATAGAACACAAAGGAAACATTCTGAATCCTCCTTCCTGGTTTATATCCTTTCATTTATCTTAAGCCAGGGTTGCTCATTCAGTACCATTCACAAAGTGAGATGATATCCTTGTATTTCCTCGTCAGGCTGGTCTTTCTGGTTTGCTGTGTCACCAGGATTAAATCAAAGCAACTGTGTGGGACTAATCATACAAAGTGTTTCACCACCTTGAACAAACAACAATTTTGGCTGCCATTTTCCAGCATGAATTGAAAATGTGCTTTAAAAAAAAAGAAGACAGGGCTTTTAAACATTATTTTCACCTGAATAATTTTCACATTCCTCTTACGAAATTTGGAGGATATGATGCAGTTTAGTTTTTTACTTTATGTACAACGAATACGTAGAACATTAAAGCCCAGCTTAGGAGGACATAATAAGCATGGAACACCTGGATGTAAGAATTGTAAAGAGAACAGGCCTCACCCAACATTTCTCACCCGTGGCAACTTTAAGATAGGTGGACTTTAACTCCCGAATGCTGGCTGGGGAATTCTGGGAGTTGAAGTTCGCCCAAGTTGAGGCTCCTAAATAAAGTTGAGAAACATTGGCCTAGGCCCTAGGACATTGTATGAAGCGGTGGATGTGTATTTTAACATACCTTTTAAAGCAGGGGTCTCCAACCTTGGCAACTTTAAGACTTGTGGACTTCAACTCCGAGAATTCTGGCTGAGGAATTCTGGGAGTTGAAGTCCACAAGTCTTAAAGTTGCCAAGGATGGAGACTCCTGCTTTACAATATTGTTATTCATTGAAGACCTGGCCATTTGACTTAATTGTCACATAGGGAGCAAGTCTTCAATTTGTGACAATCCGTTTTTTTGTCCGGGTTGTTTACAGATGGACTGGTTCACCCAGATATCTGGAACATCCTCACAGTATCATCATTGTACTTGTGCATTTTAATTTGGAAAGCATTCGGCGCCCCTTCCCCCCCACTAGTTTGGAGGTAAGAGGAAGTAATTGTTACAGGGAAGTTTCAGGGACATTTCAGATTCAAGTTTGAAGCTGCTGATAAGGCAGCCTATAATTGGAGACATAAACAGCCAAGCGAAGGAAGTAGCCTGAGATAATTGGGTGTTCCTGCTCTGTCCCACTTAAGCACATCAATAATATTATGACTTTTATGCTTGGTTAACATAGATGAGAAGAATTTGAAAAGCCGCTCAACTCCAGTCATGTCTTGACAGGAAATAATGAACGGATATGGCAGCTAAGAATGCAGAGATTTCCTGCTCATCCAAATAAACGGTATTTTAATCAGATCTGGAGTCTGAATCCTTTCTGGTGTCCTTGATCTTGGCAATCACTCCTAAGTTCCTAACATATTCACCTCTGTGAGCAGAATTAAATAGTTGTTTTGCCTGAATGAACAATGGTTATCAAGTTAAATTGCCCTTGTGCATACTTGCAGGGATTTAATTAATTAATTTATTTTTTATAGCTGCCCATCTCAAGTAAATGACTCTGGGTTAGGGTTAGGTATTGTAGTCCACTCTATAACAGGAGTGGATTTTCAGTATTTATTTATTTATTGGTTCAATTTATATGCCGCCCTTCTCCGGAGACTCAGGGCGGCTTACAATGCATCAAGCAATAGCCTTCATACTTTTGTATATACCTGCTTAGTAGGGCTTTTGGCCCCCCCTAAGTGGTGTTCTTTTTTATACAAAGTCAGCTTATTGCCCCCTCAATCCGGGTCCTCATTTTACCTACCTTGAAAGGATGGAAGGCTGAGTCAACCTTGAGCCTGGTGAGATTCAAACTTGCAGTAATTGCAGGTAGCTGGTGTTACTTAACAGCATTTTAGTCTGCTGCGCCACCAAGGCTCTATCCAGGTAGTCCTCTATTCAGATAGTCCTTGATTTACGACCACAGTTGAGCCCCAAATTTTGTTAAGTGAGACATTTGTTAAGTGAGCTTTGCCCCATTTTACGACCTTTCTTTCCACAGTTGCTAAGTGAATCACTGCGGTTGATAAGCTAGTAACACGGTTGTTAAGTGAATCTGTCTTTCTTATCGATTTTGCTTCTCAAAAGGTGATCACATGACCTGTCCAATCACCATGAGGCCTGATCGTTCCTCTCTCTTTTTTTTTTACCTTTTGGAGTAAGAGCCCAATAGTGTAGAATCAAGTTTTTAATGGAGTCTGTATTATGTATGCGCTTGATAATGATATAACATGGAAGAAGACAGAGATAGCTTTCCATCCATCCTCTCGGCTTCTCCTGCTCTTTGTTGCTTGTTTTGTGCTGCCCGGGATGCTACTTATTCAACATTTTTTGCAATGATTTTTGTTCGTTTTAAGTGACTTATTTTTTCCCCATAGCTGCTTTGAGGTTTTGCTTTTTGGTAGAAAAACAGCTATATATTTTCACATAATCAGACAAGTCTGACAACGGTGTGTCAGAGTGGAAAACATGATAGAGTAGTCTTTGGCAAGCTGGTGTCTTGCTTTTGTCTGTAAGTGTTATGACCAGATAATTGCCCAGCAGATGCTAGACGTCCCAGTTTTCCTTCTCAGCAGCAGATACTGACTGTTTAACACTCTATAAAGTAGTTAATTGTTATTGGAGGGCTTCTCTGCATTTTACAGCTTTTAATTTCCTGATACATTTGCAGGGGGATAGGGGATAAAACCAGTGGCTGACCCAATTGTTAAATTGCTGGCTGGCCACTCCCCTCCCCGCCCCTTCCAGAAGTCTCCACGCACCCCGTTTTTCAACTTTCAATTTCCAAGCATGAGGGGTGCTCAAAAGTTATGACGTGCCTTGGGGACTGTAAAGATATCTTGGTCACTTGAATATAGCTTAGATACGCTTGGAAAATATCATAACTTTTTAACATTTGTTTCATTTGCGTAGTAACATCTACTCTAAGAAAGGAAGTTACGGGGAAAATAACCTACCCAAAGGTCACAAAAGACATGGATTGACCTTGGATGTGATAAGCTAGACATCACTGATGAATTAATAAGAACATACTGTACTTTGTTTATAGAATAGCTGAAGTTTCCTAATATTCTTCAATGATACCTCAGGTGGAGCCATCTCTGTTGGAATCAGTCATGAGTGGTTGTTAGTTGTTGGTACTGTATATTATTCATTTGCGTCATTCTATTTTTGTTCTTTTAAAGTTCGCTGGTCATTAACTGAATAAATACTATAGATTGATTGATCTGAGTGATTAAAGTGGATCATGAGGTCTTGGCATATGACAGAGTTATCAAAGAATTACATGCGGTTAAAATATTTAAAATTCCTGGAGAGAGAAAAGGCATGGTCAGAGTAGCAAAGGAGGGCTGGGTCAGGGAGGGAGGGAATTCACTAACAGAACTGAGTAATAGAAATACAAGTAGTCCTCAACGTACGACCACAACCGAGCCCAACATTTCTGTTGCTAAGCTCTCCTCCCACTCAGAAGGTTGAGAGTTCAATTCTAGGTAGAGGCAGATGTTTCTTTCTTAGGGCGCAAAAGAAAAAAAAAATCTGCTGCAAACTCCACATAGGTGTCAGGCAGGGCATCCGGCCACTAAATGCTCAGCTCCGTCCAGTTGATCCCCATTCAACCCCAAATTAAAGGATTACAGAGTCGTAAAAACAAAAGTGTAGAAAACTATACAGGTAGTCCTTGACTTACAACAGGGGTGGGCAACTATGGCCCTTTTATGACTTATGGACTTCAACTCCCAGAATTCCTGAGCCAGCCATGTTAGCTCAGGAATTCTGGGAATTGAAGTCCACAAGTCATAAAAGGGCCATAGTTGCCCACCTCTGACTTAACAATCTGTTTTTTGGTTTTTTTTTAGTGACCGTTCAAAGTTACAACATGAAAAAAGTGACTTTTTGACCATTTTTCACATAGGACCATGCATCCCTGCCCGGAGTGGGGGGAGGGGAGGGGAGAAGGGGGTATCACATGATCAAAATTTAGATCTTTGGCAACTGGCTCATTTGTCACGGTTACAGTGTGCCAGGGTCATGTGATCCCCTTTTGCAGCCTTCTGTCAAGCAAAGTCAATGGGGAAGCCAGATTCATTTAACAACCATATTGCTAATTTAACAACTGCAGTGATTCATTTAACAGCAATGGCAAGAAAGGTCATAAAATGGGGCAAAACTCACTTAACAACTATCTCATTTAGCAACAGAAATGTGGAACAGTCAGGAGGACTACCCATACAGTATGTGTCTTTCTTTAATTATGAGTGGGAATGAAGAATGCATTAAAATTATCAGTGCTTTGCCACTATCCATAAAAGAAGCGCTTTTTTTTTGCTAATTTTCAGCTCTTATCTGGATTACCCTAGCAATCTTTTAAGTCACCATATCTCAACCTTAGCAGCTTGGAAGATGTGGGACTTCAACTCCTAGAGTTCTGAGAATTGAAATCCACACATCTTAAAGTTGCCAAGGTTGAGAAACATTGTTTTCAAGGACCTTACCACGTAGGCAGATAATATTTGGACATTTTTTTATTTATTTCTCATCCTTTGGTTCTTGGCGATGTCCTTAATTAGCCTCTATTTCTTTCCTATCCTTTCTAGGTCTTCTTAGTGGGCAGATGTCTCCTACCAACATTAAACTGGAAAAACTTGATTCTCAGCAAGTACTACAGCTGTGTCTCCGGTACCAGGACCACCTCCACCAGTGCGCAGAAGCTGTGGCCTTTGACCAGAATGCTTTAGTCAAGCGGATTAAAGAGGTGCGACCATGTTGAATCTGGAGAGGGTTTTTTTTTCCCTGTAGATACAGCTATGAAGTACGGAAGGATTCACACACAAACCACTGCACTCACTGAACTGGCTTGCATGCTTCGTGTGTTGTTCCAAACACAAAACGAAAACATTTGGGGCAGGCGCACTGGTACTGTGGGGGGGGAATCGAAGGGGGAGAAATCTAAGGACATCAGCAGCAGTAACTCGGGAGAACAAGGAAAAGATAGATACTGTAAATTTTGAGGAGTTTCTGCTCCCCTGAAAAATTTCTTTAATTAAAAATTTAATGAAAAGAAGGACTAGGGGGTGACAGGATAGCAGTGTTCTGATACCTCAGATGTTGCCACAAAGAAGAGAGAATCAAGCTATTCCAAAGCACTTGAAGGCAGGAAAAAGAAGCAATGGATGGAAAGTACCGATAATCAAGGAGAGAAGCAACTTAGAACTAAGGAGAAATTTCCTGGCAGCTAGAACAATGAATCAGTGGAACGACTTGCCTCCAGAGGTTGTGAATGCTCCAACACTGGAAGTTTTAAGAAGAGGTTGGATAACCATTTGTCTGAAGTGGTGTAGGGTTTCCTGCCTAGGCAGGGGGTTGGACTAGGTTGTTTTCAGGCCGTTCTTTCGGACCATTTTCAGGCCTTTTTCAGGCTGTTTTCTGGGCCATTTTTAGGATAGTTCTCCGGACCAAAAACGGCCTGAAAACAGCCCAGAAAGTGGCCCCCCAAATGGCCAAAAATGACCAAAAGACAGGTAGGTGCACGCCAGCCAACTGGTGTTCGGGTTTCCAATGCTCCAGTGCGTGTACATGCATGCACATGCATTCATATTCCGGTTTGGGCACTCAGTGGCGCCATCACTGACATAGGTCATTGTCAGTTAGCACGGCCACTGAGCATATGGAGAATGCATGTCTCGTGGATGGCGTTTATGATTAGGTGACTTGTTTCCCTCCAACGTGTTGGACTGCAGTTTTATGATCCTCTGCCATAATGATTTTTGGGTACCAGGTGGAGGAAAGTTGACTGGTTGTTAAACCATTGAGTGAATTACAGGAAGTAATTTAGTGACCGTTCGAAGTTACAGCGGCCCTGGAAAAAGTGACTGATGACCATTTTTCACACTTATGACTGTTGCAGCATCCCCATGGTCACGTGATTTACATCCAGTTGCTTGACAACTGGCTCACATTTATGACGGTTGCAGTGTGTCCTGGAAGAGGGGTGTCACGTCATCCCCTTTTGCGACCTTCTGATGAGCAAAGTCAATGGGGAAACCAGATTCACTGAACAACCATATTACTAATTTAACAACTGCAGCGATTCCCTTATCAAAGCTGGGAAGAAAGGTCATAAAATGGGGAAAAACTCACTTAACCAATTTCTCACATAGCAACATAAATTTTGGGCTCAAGTTGAGGACTAGCTGTACTAGAAAATGCACATTACTAGAAAGATGAAATCATAGACCTAAACTGAACATCAATTTCAAATGTGTGTGTGTGTTTTTCCTTTTAAAAGGATGTCTGAACATTTAAATCAGGGGTGTTCAAATTTGGCAGCTTTAAGACTTGTGGACTTCAACTTAAAGCATAGCTGGCTGGAGAATGCTGGGAGCTGGAAGTCCACAAGTCTTAAAGCTGCCAAGTTTGAAGACACCTGATTTAAATGCTAATTTCTTTATCTGGTTGCTTAAGCTTTTTATAGTTTTCCACGCCAGAACAACTTTAAGTCATTTCTTGTGTTTAAACTGTTTAAACTGTAGATATATCTGCGAGACGACCGTAGCTATTTTATGGCACAACTGTAACTGAAAAGAGGCGAATGCTTGCTTTTAGAAAATCCTTTAAAAAAAAAATCAGCAGAAAGTGAAGCAGCTAATTGTACAACGGTACCTTAGACGCTGGTGACTCAGAGTACTTGCATCATAGTGTCACGATATGCGTGATGTTAATTGTGGCTTGTAAGAATGTCCACGATTCTCTACAGAGCCTCCAGGAGGAACTGGGCAATACGAATATAAGGTCACGTAGCTTGAGAAAATGCAATCTTTCTCTCTTTTTTCCTTAGTGATGAAATCCCAGAATGGCTGCCTCAATCTACTGCTCACAAAATAATATGCACTGTGTATGTTTGGTGGAGGTGAGAAGGGGAAAGAATCTGGAATAGGGAAGAATTTTCCTTCCTTCCTTTCTTCCTTCTCTCCCTCCCTCTTCTTTCATTTCTCTTCCTTCACCTTCTCATATTCCTTCCTTCCTCTTCTTTCCCTTCCCATAATTCTCCTCATTTCCTGCCTGCCTGCCTTTCCCTTCTTTCCTTTCCCATAATTCTCCTTCTCCCTTCCTTCCTTCCTTCCTTCCTTCCTCCCTCCCTCCCTCTCTCCCTCCCTCTTCTTTCCCTTCCCATAATTCTCCTTCTCCCTTCCTTCCTTCCTTGAAAATACGTACCGTATTTTTCAGAGTATAAGATGCACCGGAGTATAAAATGCACCTACCTTTTTTGTTTTGTTTTTTTTGTTTTTTAGACAAACAAACATACAATGTATTTTCTTTGAACAGAGTATTTGGCCAATTCACAAATTTAAACAATGTTTAGTCATTTCAATTAAATTTACAATTTCTATATTTCCTTTTTGCCATATTTATTCATCATCTATTCTTTTTTAAAACCAATATTACCCTTCATCCTCATCTCTAATCTTAATCAAATTCAATTTTCCCTTCTATTCTATATTATACCCCTTCCCATTGTCATCTGTTTTTATATCCATCCTCACATTGGTTAATTATGTAATATTACAATTGTTTAATACAAATTCAACATTTTAATATAAATCAATGTTATATAACTATCTTTTTTGTATATTAATCAATATGAACATGAATATTCCAATTATTTCCATCCATCCAATTTCTTACAAATCAATTAATTATATTTACCAATAATAATAAACCAAATAATTTCCCCCATATATTCCTCCAAACCACAACTTAACCATTTCTGCTTTCAACACAATATACAATTATAGTATCTCAATTATTACAATTCCCTAGTTAAATAGAGCTTTTCCCTTATGTTACTCATTTTCACATCTTAAACTCTCCCAAGAACCCAAATAGTTTTGCCCATATAATCCTCCAAATCACAATTTAATCATTTCTACTTTCATCACAATATATAATTAAAAATATTTCAATCGTTACAATTTCCCTAATTAAATTTAAAAATGTTCTAGCTGTTATCCAAGCTAGAACTTAATCCTTTTTACTTTCACCACCATATACCATTAAAGGTATTTCAATTGTTACAGTTTATACTTATTCATTTTTCTAAGAAAAATAAAAAAATAAAAACTTATCATTGTCTAGATTTCAAAATTACAAAGACAAATATTCCAATTATTATTTATTTCATTTTTACAATCATGATTTCCCATTTATTTCTTACAACTATTAATATTTCAATTCTAAATATGTATAACATCTTTCTCTTTCATTTCTTTTTCTCCCTTCCCATTTTTATTTTTGCCTTTTTCTTTCTCCTTTTTTTCTTTTGTGTTTTAAAATCTTGAACTCTCCTCTTTTGCCCTAAATTTCCCATTGTTTGCACCTACCTTTTTTGGTGAGGAAAAAGAAGAAAAAAAAATCTCCCTCTGCCTCTGCCTAATTTTGCGATGTTGCAGCAAACAGCCTGCTTTACTTTCATTTTCATTTTCAGCATAGCTTGATTATCACAAGGAAAAAAAAATCTGCTCCAGCAAATTTACTTCTTTGCAGCAAGCAGCAGAGCCCTGCCCAAAACAGCTGAGAGCAAATCAGCTGAGAGTCAGGAGGCTGATCCAATCAATCTGTGCTAATTAGGATGTGCTGAAGCTGAAAGGAGCTGTTTTTTCTTGCTGTTTGCTTGCAAGGAGGTAACTGCTGCGAGGCACAGGCCAAAGGGTGGGGGCCAGTGGGTGGTCGGGGCTACATTCGGTGTCTTAAGACGCACCTAAATTTTCATGGCCTTTTAGGGGGGGAAAAGATACGTTTTATACTCTGAAAAATACGGTACTTTTGCTAAAATTCTTCCATTTGGTGCCTTGTGAGCCAAGTTGTTCTGAACTGTCTCTCTTCAGGGGGGGAAAAATAAATCCTCCGCCAGTTCAGTGGATAAACGTGATTAATGTAAATAAACAAAAAGCCCAAGTCTGCAAAAATAAACAATAAATGCAATTTACACAAACTTTCTAAGTTTGAAACAAAGTAATTCACGTCAAGTTCACTTGTATCCACTGAGCTTGATTTGTAAAATCGTCAAGAAGGTACATTGTATGGAAAAAAAAGAAAACCAGAGCAAGAAGAGAAGGAAGACAGTTCTTGATAAATTGCGTACTTGGGAGCAAAACAAGGATTAGTCATCCTGATGTGCTGGAATAAGCCCAGCATTCGCTTTAATGATAAATGATCACTATATATAACAGCTTTCCAGCTGTGTCTGCATCTAGGATTTCGGAGGATGACTAATATGCTGTTATTATCGGAAGCAGAGAAGCTGGAAAATTATAGGCTTATAATACTAGAGTATAGAAAATATATAATGTCTCTCTATGCTCTATCCAATTTTCTCTTGGAAAATTGCTTCCTATTTTTTTCTCCTGGAGAACCCAGCTCTTCCAGAGTTCATGAAAAGCAATATGTCGGGCTACAATAAGAGAGGAGGTTTATCTTTATGGAAGAGGGATGAACTTTCAGAGATCAGATTTGACGTAGCTCCAAACGAAGGAGATCCAAGCTTATTTAATGGACACTAGAGAGATCCGGCATAAAAATCCAGTGAGAACATTGATTGATTGATTGATTGATTTTATTTATTTATTTATTTATTAAATTTTTATACCGCCCCCTCTCCCGAAGGACTCGGGGCGGTGAACAGCCAAGATTAAAAAACATACAGTATAAACATTAAAATACATTTAAAACAAAATTAAATCCAAAGTGGCTCCCCAG